TGATTTCATAGTATTATGTCATTAATTTATCAATACGTCATGTTTGAATAATAACATGACATAATAATGTGAAAATAAAAAAAATAATAACACCATAATGGTGGAATCTAACATAATATATAAAGATCACATATATATAAGAATTTTAGCGCTAATCTCATATCATACAACAACGATGTAACTACATTTTCCTAGTGTTATGTATAGCGTGGTGATATAGTGATAAATAGGTTATTGACTATTTCATTTCTTCATCGAGAATGGAAAGCACAACACCTAAGATTCGATCATTGCTTACCCCACGTATTACGCTGATATGCAGTCTTAAGTACAGAGAGAAATCGATGACGCCATTCGAGATAGCAGTCTTCCATTGATATTTGATAGGGGTAATCTACCGTACTGTTAAGCCATTATGTGTGAGCTCACGCGAATAAGAACAGTTATACCATTTGTCTTGCCTCGTACTACTACGGTGGATACATTTGTAGGTGCTTCTTTTTTGCATAATGTACAAATACATTTATTTGAATATAACCAATATGAACTCTTATATACTCATAGTATAGTGGACTAGCTCAGCTGAGTAACCTTGATAAATCTTATGTTATGAATGAATATTTGTAGTACTGCCAAGGGGTTCCAAAATATAACGATGCCAAAATATACTATATTATATTTGTTCTGGTTACCTCATGAGCAAGCACTTATTTTATCTGACAGGTCATGTTATCTTTAATTGCAAGAAATAGTTTTTCCCCCACATAGTCAAAAATGTCTTTAGAAAGTCTTGTATGTCGCTCAGATTATTCACAATTACTTGTTAAATCTACTACAGGAGGGTGTGCAGTACATGGATTTTGTGTAACCTGTGAATTGTTCATATGGATGGGGATTATTGGGAAGAACCGGAGGATTTTTGTCCAGGTAACTTGCATATCAAATCAGTTTGATTGAAACAGTTAACAATGTTCTCATACACGACACTATGTCCCATATATACCTTAGCTTCAAACATATCATTGAGAGCGAGTAAGCAATCATACTTTTTGCCTCAAATATTTGATCATTAATTCCCGTCATCGCATTCCTAATTTGACTAATCTCTCTAACCATAATATTTAAAAACTATGAACTAGATGACGGGGAAAATGGAACATTATTGGTTGAGTAAAAACTAGTCTGGTGACTCCCACTCTCAACGATATCATTGCAGACATTCGCGTCTCATGTTTTTTTGAAATTCTATACGATCTAATGACTAGTTAGATGACATTAAAAATAAACCTCGAAATAAGCCAAACTGTTTTATGAGAAGGGTCTAAAACAATTATGAAAACCAACCACTGAGCCATTTGTAGTATATTTCCTTTTATTTTAGGCTTTCAGAAGTTGTGTCTATTTAAGTTATTTTAGTGTAATTATGATATCCCATAATTACATTTTGAGATTTTATGTTTAGAAATATTTTGCGTTGTATTTCCGAAATTTTTTTATTGGCAATTGCTATTGCCTAAATAAAGATCATGCTAACATTAAAATATTTACTATTGTTTATTCTGGCAAATTTGAAAAAAAAATATTTGTTTCATTAATGTTTGCCATTAGCATTGGCTAAGAATGAGATGTTTCTTCTTTTCACTAGTGTATTTCAACAATACACATTTACTAATAGGCCACAGAAAGCCACACTTCATCAAGCAAATCATAACATTTTGTCCATATAATGTCATTGTCGTTAACAGGAGTAAATAAACTCGTTTTATTAATTTCAGAAACATAACTCTAGTAGATACTGTCAACTTAAGTCACAAGTTTTAACATACTAACAACTGAGCAATAATTATCATTTACGAAAAAAACGCACACTATATTCTGATATATTTGACCATAAAATCATTTTAGGAGAGCCCAAAAGTGAACGGCCCTTTAAATGTATCTGTGTGAAGGGAACATCATGGTTTTTCTAAGTGGGCAGTTCTAGGTCATTTCCTAGAGGCGGGCTATTAGTATTAGCTTTTATTTAAACGAATGATGGCTGCATCCTGGGACAGTGCTTGGTAAAACAGTGACATAGTGACATAGTTGTTGCACAATTCATCCTTTTCAAATGTTTTGCCCTAAAGTTAGAAAATAATTTTGAGCTGGGCCCGACTTTTTACCACAAAAACTCACTACTCCTGTATTATTAGGTGTTTTTATGTTATAATGTTCAATCTGGAAAAAAAGTTTGTTTAATCTGAAAAATGTATTTCTTTGTTGTTTCGTTGGCCTGTAGTGCCATTTTATTCTGCTCGCATACACCTCAACGTTTTGTATTGAATATGCGAGTGTTTTTCTGTGCTGATTATAAAGTGGTTTCAAGTGGTGTTTGTAACATTCATAATATTAGTAATAGGTAAAATTTTGTGACACAGAGTTATACAATTTTAACATTAATTTGTGGCATACTTTTAATCGAATTTACATTCCAAATTATTTTCCATAATCTGATAATGGAGAAAAATTGATTCCATGCATTTATGATTTATATGTATTGCATTTAAAATAGAGACTATACATTTATTTTCCAAAAGTATATTATATAACAATAATTTATTGATCAATAACAAAATAAGAAATACAAGAAATTACCAATTTGGTTTGTTTTTGCTGCATTGCCGCTTATAATTTCTTTGACACAGAAGTTACATATATTGAATGTATTTTCAACGGTAGAATTGTCATTGAAATGACTGCGAGAATATGTTGACTGTAATACAGGATGATTATTTATGCGCATGCACGTGCTAGATGCTAATCTTTTGCACTGATCAAAGTTAAATCACGAAGAATAATTATTAATAATTTAATTTGAATAATTCATAATGCAAATAGTAATTGGAATATTAACGGCTCCAATCTGCAGGTAAATGTTCATTACGGGAATTTTGGGGATTACGAATATGGCGTCTGGTAAGCTACCCCAAGCAATCAAACCACGACTTTAGCCAGTGACAGTGCCGTTTGCATCTGGCTGATTTGTGGAAATACGATGGGTCCACTGTGTTGTCACAGCATGCGTCGTCATTGACGCGCTCAATTGTGCACAGTAGATGTGACCCAATACTAACTGGTTATGCCAGCTAGTTTAATATCCCCCTCCACAGAATCAGAATATTAACAAATCGCAGATAACGACGGGATTCGACTGACAGTTTGTCTCAACCTTGCCACATGGAGAAAGAAAGAGCAGGGATTTATATGACGAGTGCTCTTGAATGTACAAACAAATAATATTGATAATTTATTAATGATAAATAATGCATCATATTTGAGATTCTAGCATATTACATTTGCTATCAAAAAGTGAGATCAATGTTTGAGCTACCTATAAATGTCATACTGTACTTCACTGGTGATAAGTATAGTTCTGTCACCAGTCTAAGATACACTTAAAGGTATATGAAAAAAATTGCTCTTAGCTATATGAGAAATCACAATTCAGGCGCACTTCATTTCGCATGATTACGCAATAGAGCGTAGTGATCTCAAAGGAACACAATACATACCACCATACAACTAGACGGTCAACGAGAGAGTTGGGGCGAAGACCGAGTGGACGACAGATCGGTTCAGTACGGCTAATCACTCTGAATTGGCGTACAATTAGGCCTCGGAACGTGCAACTCTGGGTGTGTGTTGTATTATAAATGATGAAAACTATATGCAGAAACTTGTGTTATTATTGTTGAGCAGTTAAAATATCACCTATGCAATTCTCAGAAGGTACCATCCATCCACGCAACCAACCCAAACACTACAGAAGAGCAAGCAACCCACGCGAGAACCCGATGACATTTCCATAAACATTTGTCATTCTGTGTCACATGTCGTACAGTGCTTGGAAATATTATTTGAAAAGACAATTGTTTGTGAATATTATTTATTAATATTTTTACTTGAGATGTAGATATGCATGATGGATAGAATATACATGTCGAAAATATAAAGGCATCACACCATTAATTATACATTATTTTTGAGTTTTCACTGTTTTCGTCAAAACCACAGTCACAATAAAAATATAATAAATAGCCATACTGTACACGAATATATACCGTACCAAGGTTTCCACTATATGTACACTATATGTGTACGTTAAGAATACAAGAGAGACTGATTATTCGCTCTCGTCCATAACTTGGGAAGTGAACTGTAAATTACATAATTAACTGTGAAAGCGATTTGTGTCTTATGACAGTAGGGTATGGGAAAATCAAATTAATTGTATCGATTAATATTAAAGAAACCTACACCACATGAGATGGTTAAAAAGCAGCAGCAATATTAATGCATATCACCACATGTTTTGGAACACGTTGTTCCTGGTATGACTATTAGTTGTCCGAGTATAAACCCCTCCGGGAAAACGGCAATTGACGAAAAATTAGGGGGGGATTATAAACGAATAAAGTTAAAACTTATCAGGAGCGATAATTTATGACAATTTATTCATGAACATATCGTCATCGACTAGCATCGTCCAAATTAACTTGAGGATCGAAACGAATTTTACCCATTCACGCTAGCCACAATAAGCACTTTTTGCATAAAAACGTAAATAGATTAAGATTGAAATGTCCGAAAAATTACGGCAAAAAATAAAAAAACTACCATTCAATTTTTTTAAAATCAAAATTGCCGTTTAAGGCCCCAGGGTAAATTTGCGGCAGGATCCGGTACTAAATGAAACGCATTTCAAAGTGGATGTACATTAACATTTGCGTATATTGTGCAAACACAAATCAGACGGCCCTTTACAGGGCCATCTCATCCTTCAGAAAGAAAACTACCTTTATTCACATACCAAATAATTTTGACAGACCGGGGGGGGTTATAATTGGATAAATTACTTGTTGTAAAATGCTGTAAATTTGGAGAGGGGCTTATACCCGAGCTGGCGTTTATACTCGGACAACTACGGTAGTATCAAACTATTCACCAACAAGTATTTATATTCATTTGCGCCTTTCAATGGCAATAACTTCATATGAAACACATCGCATAACCAAACCAGCGCAGTGTCCCTTTAAGCATGGCTTCTTGCTCCCAGGTGGTACCTTAAATGTGTAGTTTTGAAACAAACTCGTGAAAATGAGAAATAATTCATTCTTAGCCAATGCTTCTCCCATACACACTCGGCGTCCAGCTGAAAAAGGCATGAAACTGTCTGGGTGTGGCAGCAATGCTCCATCTGCATCCAAGAATCGTTCTGAAAATAAATGAGAACTATGCTGTTTGCTCACTGTTCATGAATGTCAGTTTTAAATACTATTTGTTTACATATATTCCGGATATTTATTATCTGGGTAAACATATTGAAACAATGATTTTCACCTGATGTCATTTCATCATATATACCATAGGGTTCATATATCTTTCTGTGACTGATTAGACTATGTAGTATTATGTACTTGTTGTCAGTTATTTTCTTCGTGTGAATAGTTTTGTTGGTTCTTTTTTATTTAATTACTTCTGTGTCAGTCAATTTAATTTGTTTAAATGTTAAGTTTGCAAGTACAAGTGATG